GGCTGGCTCTCGCGGTAGAGCTAAATGTGGACATGCACAGAGCAGTTTGAACCTTGACCCTTGCCTCCCAGGCTGTGAGACCCTTTGTGTAGCTCTGTTCTGGAAAGGAAAGAGGTAGGGGAAAAAAAAAAAAAAAAACAAACCCTATCGAATGACTGCAGAGAACGCGAAGCTTTCCTTTGCAGGGAAAGAATGGGACCGTGTTCTTGCTGTGTCCCGCCCCTCTGGAATGACAATTTCAAAACCTGGTTTTTCCATGTGCTTCTTTGAAGAGGGGTTGTGTTCTAAATTAGTTTGCTAGTGGGAAATAGAGACGCTAAGCAGGAGAGTGACTTCAAATTTTACATATATGTGTTTATCGAGGTCTTCCTATGTGCAAAGGCAGCCTGCTGGACCCCCACAGTGAAACAGAAAAAAAAAAAAAACTGCATGAAACATGTTCTCTGTCCTCCAGGAACTTGCTCCCTGGGGGCAGATTTACAGTTTAGAAGGTGGAAGGTCTCTGGAAGCAAGCCTAAGGGGCATATCTGCTTGTGGGTCGGAACACGGGTCCTTGCAGGCTGACAGAGGCTGCTCTGGGGAAGGTAGGGTGTTGCAGCCTGGAAACGCTGGATGCAGATGGGGGGCCACGTCCAGGGGCCCCCGGGGTCCGAAACCCGGACACCTTCAGGGGCCAACAGGTCAGTTAGGGACGGGGGGCGGGCACGGAAAACTGGCAGACTGGGGCAGCTCCTTCACTGGCCAAGTGCTGGCCTGCCCCAGTGCAGGCTCTTGGTTTCCTGATCTCTCCCCTCTTCTCAGGAGAAGCCAGGAATCTGTCCACATGAACTGTGAAAGACTACCCTGTCCAAGCACCGGGGTGGCGCGGGGCGTCAGGCGTCCCAACTCGTGGTTTGGGCTCGGGTCGTGATCTCGGGGTGGTGAGATCGAGCCCCGCGTGGGCTCCGTGCTCAGCGCAGAGTCGGCCAGAGATTCTCTCTCCCTCTCCCTCTGCCCCTCCCCCCCGCGAGCTCTCTCTAAAATAAATACATCTTTAGAAAATACCCATCTTTAAACATGATGTTGTCCACACCAAACACGTTTGCAGACATCTTAGTCCATTCAGGCTGCTCTAACCAAATCCCACAGACTGTGACTTATAAACAAGTTATTTCTAGTGGTTCCAGAGGCTGGAAAGATCAAGGCATGAGCAGATTCGGTGTCTGGTGAGAGTCTGCTTCTGGGTTGTGGACTTCTCAATGTTTCCTCATGTGGTGGAAGGGGTGGGCTCTCTGGGGCCTCCTTTATAAGGGCACTAATCCCGTTCACAAGGGCTCTAGTCTCATGACCTGATCACCTCCCACAGGCCCTACCTCCTAACCTTGGGGATTGGGTTCAACGAAGGAATCTGGGGAGGGTCGGGACTCAGGTAAGGCAAACAAGACACCCAGGGCACGGGATGTGAGGAGACCCCGAGAGCGAGGTCCCCTTGTAGTTTGTACTCCACATGCCTCTCTTGCCTCCCCCGAGTCCTGGCCCTGCTCCGTGGGACCCCATTTGTCATTTAGGGTCCAAAGAGAATAGCAGTGAAAACAGATTGGCAAGGCAGGGCCAGGGGTGTGGTCTTTGAACTTCACTCGGTGGGCACTGGGGAGTGACTGAAGGTTTAAGAGCAAGAAGGGAGATGGCTAGAATGCGCTGTAGAGGGAGGGCAGGGAAGAGGGTGGGCTGGCCCAGGGGCAGGGCAGCAAGGCTTTCCTAACAGTCCAGGCTACGAGGAGGGAGGCAGCAACAGGAACCCAAAGGGGTTATCTTGCAGGAGGCAGTATGGTGTGAGAAGCAGGTTGGGAGTTGGGTTCTGGAATCAGATGGTCTGAGTTTAAATCCTGGATCTTGCTTATACTAGTTATGATGTTGGGCAAGCGGTTTAACCTCTCTGTCACAGTTTCTTCATCTGTAAAATGGGCTCACAGCAAGGCCCACCTACCTCTCAGGGTGTGGTGGAGATTCAGTGGGGCCATCTCTGTGAACAGCGCCTCGGGACACAGTAGCCACGAGGACTGTTGTAGACACGGAGGGACCCTAGGGTCACCAGCGCCCCATAGTGAAGCAAGCACTGGAATAGGACAGATCAGAATCACTTGGGGGGGATCTTTTAAATGTCCCCAAACCAAAGCCACACTCCAGACCAATTAAATCACAATCTCTGGGGTGGGGACTGGGCATCAGTATTTTCTGGAACCTCCCCAGGAGTTTCCAATGTGTGGCCAAGCTTGGGAACCATTGCTTATCTAGAACCTTGTATGCCTGAGGCCTGAACTGGGAGAATTGACCTTGAAAAGACACAAACAGGCAACCATTTTGCAGCTGGAGGTGAAGCCGGATGGGGTGGGGGGAGGTGGCAGGGTGTGTGACCCTGGGGCCCAGCTAAGGGACTCCTAATATGGCTCCAGGGGGCCTTGCCAGCCTGGCAGCCACTGACACCCCCACACCCAGGCTGGGAGAGAGCCCTCTGCCTGCACCCGCGGAGGACTCCCAAGCAGGAGACCAGAGGCGCAGCTCTGAGCCGGGCTTGGGCGCCAGAGGGAGCTCGTGGGGACACGCCACGGCTCCATCCCTGCAGCTGGTTCAAACTGGTTTGGGCAGGGTGCGGCCCTGGCAGGCTGCATGCCAGGCCTCAGGCTTGCTGCCTGCCCCTGGGTCTCCCCAAGAGCTGGGGACCGGGGGCAGGGTGCTGGGGCACAGCCAAGGACCACTGAGAGGCCCAGAGAGTTTTACAGTCAGTCCCCTTTGTTGAAAACCATTGATGTGGCCTCCCACAGGGGTCCCCTGGGTAATGCCCACAGCAAGAGGGAGCCCCTAAAGAGGGGTCATTCCCAGACTTTGGCGTGCATCAGAATCAACTGCAGAGCTGTTAAGAGGCAGATGCCTAGCTCCCCAGAGATTCTGATTCAGAAAGTTGGGGGAGGGCTCCGGGCATCTGTATTTTTAGCAAAATGTTTCTAAGGCATAATCACACATTTAGGGGGAAGAAAAAAAAATCCTGACAGCAAAATGACTGTTGGCTAGCCATCTCAGCCCAGGGTAGAGAACCTGAGAGGCTGGTCAGAGCACAGATCCTTCCCCAGATACCCCAGCTCCGGGGCAAGGGGGTCTGAGCAATCGGCACTTTTAGATAATATCCCGGGCCTTTTATTTGCCTTGCTTTTATTTATTTATTTATTTTAAAAAAAATCTTATTTTTTTTGACAGAGCACAAGCAGAGGGAGAGAGAGGGAGAAGCAGGCTCCCTGCTGAGCAAGGAGCCCGATGTGGGACTCGATCCCAGGACCCTGGGATCATGACCTGAGCCAAAGGTAGATGCTGAACCGACTGAGCCACCCAGGCGCCCCTATTTGCCTTGCTTTTAATGAGTCATTTTGGGCATTCAATAGGTTTAACTCTGACAGCAAACATCAGCAGCAGAAAGAAAACGTTACAAATACAATCGAAACACCGTTCGTAGGCCCTCTCCATCCCCTCCCCCCACCGCTTTCCTGAACGTGGCCCGCATGGTTCCCAGGCGCCGCCTTACACTTGGACTCCATATGGCCGCATCCATACACAATACACAGTGTGGTTTTGCATGTTTTTAAAACTTTATGTTAATGGCAGCGTGCCCTACGGAGCCTTCTGCAACTTGTCTTTTTTTTTTCTTCTTCTTCTTCTTAGCATTATGTTTGTGAGTCTCATCCACCAGGGGAAGTTTGCTGAAGTCATCTGAACTCAGTTCTGGGCTTTTCTGAGAGAGGGTCCCAGCCCACCTGCAGGGGTGAGGGTCTGGGCTTGGTTCCTGGGTGTCTGTGTGATGAGAGGCAGGGCTCTGAGCATCAGGAAAACCACGACGGTAATGAACGGCCAAATTCAGGTTCCGTGAGTTCCTATCAAGTCCTTTAACGAACCACCTGCGGCCCAAATCTTGTGACAAGATTTTTCCAGAAAGCGACCCTGACCTGAGGGCCCGAATGTTTGGGCAGAGATATGGAGAAATGAGCGGGAAGCAGATGTGGAAGTGGGAATTGTACAAATCGTACGGTGACAGCTCACCCACAAGGCGGATCGAGCATGTGCTTACGCCCCCTACCGAGGGTTGTCAGATAAACTCTACATTTAGATTTAACCGGGGGCCGGGGGGGGGGGGGGCGGGGGAGGGGAGCGAGGAACGCGGGGCGTGGCGTATATTTATTTACAACCCTAAGCCCAGCCTGATTTTGCTCCACGAATGCAACATTTAAAAAAAAAAAAAAAGACGTCATAGGAAGAATTAGAACTCTAGACTTCCCTATACCTCTTCACCATTTTTAGGATTTTCCTCATTCGGATTTCCTCACTGGATCTACACAAGCCTCCCAGGGTATGTGTGTATAGGGGGGAGGTGGGTCAAACTTAGAGCATTTACGAATTCCCTGGGGAGTTTATTTTAAAAGCTGCTCCTGGGAGGAAAAGGACCACTACACCCGGTTTCCCTAATTCCCAGGACTCTCCTCCTGGCGCAAACAAGATGCTGGAATTAGGGCGGCCCTGGGGGCGGGGGCTTTGGTCTTTAAACGAAAGGATCCCCTGGACGGCCGTTCTCTATCCTGGACGCTGGAATCACCCGCGGAGCTTTAACACCTACTGATGCCCAAGCCCCACCCCCGGGATTCCGGCTGAATCGGCCGGGGTGAGGCCTGGCTTCCGGGCTTTTGAAGCTCCCCGGGGCATTCTGAAGTGCTGTGGGGGCTGGGAACCGTGGCTCCGCCCGGATTCCAATGAAAACGGGAGGTCTATACTGGCGGTTCTCAAACTTGGCTGTATGTTGGAATTACCAGGCGAACTTCAGAAAATACTGGTGCCCAGGTCCCAACCCTAGAGACTGTGCGTGAGCAGGACTTTGGAGGTTTTAAGGGTCCCAGGTGATTGCAATCTGCAGGCGAGTTTGAGAAGCTTTGCTTTACCAGGTGGTGCGAGGGCCGGGCGCAGTGAGCGCCGCGCGCCACTGGGTGGCGCTGCCCACTCGGCCCGGCGCTCGGGGAGGCGCGCGAGGCCGTGGCCGGGTGCGCACCTGCCCCGCCTCCTCCAGGCGGGCCACGGGGCATGCAGCCGGTCGGGGGCGGGGCTCCGAGGCCGGGATGCGGCCCCGGGCTCCCCGGCAGCCTCCGCCAGCTGGACCCCGTCGCGCTCCTGATGCTGCTCGTGGACGCCGACCGGCCGGAGCCCGTGCGCAGCGGGGCGCGCGAGCTCGCGCTCTTCCTGACCCCCGACCCCGGGGCGGAGGTAGGGGACCGGGGATGGCAATAGGGGAAGCCGGGTCTCGGGGTTGGGGGGGGTCTGGGCCCTCGCACCCCGGGGCAGGAAAGGGTGGGTGCGGCCTCCGGAGCTCCGGGACCCGAACCCTTTGGCGTCCGCGCCGCATCCTCTCGCACCCGGCGCAGGGGCCCGAGGGCCGCCTCCTTTGCGGAGAGGTGATGCCTGGCGCCACCCAGAGATACGCGGCAGGTCGCGCCTCTCCCTCCTCCAGCCGACAAGGCCCCCGGGGACCCAGACTCGCGTCGCACCCCGACCGGGGCCCCCAGCATCAGCGGGGACGGGGGAGCGAGGCGCGCTCGGAGCTGCTGCCCTTTGTCAGGCGGGGCCCTGGGGAGGCCGGCCCTGGGTCCTGCCCCGGGCCGGGCGCTCAGCCCTCTCGGCTCCGAGCCGGGTGCCAGAGGCCCGGGAGTGGGCGGGCAGGCTGCGTCTGTGCGGGGAAGCCCCGGGCCTTGGTCCTGCTGTTGCTAAGAGGGAAAATACCTCGTCTCTATCCGTACTTGCTATTTTAAAAGCACAGAATAAAAAGTGGATCTGAAACTAGGCCCTTCATCTTCCAGCTGAAGCCAGTCTGTTAACAGTGCCGTGAAAAAAGTTATTTATCCAAGTCCGCCAGGAGTTATTTAAGGCTTGAATTCAACTCATTCTTTTTAAATCTCAAAAGCAGGACGGAAGTACAGCCAATAAAGGGTGAGCACCCTCTCTTTTCTCTGCGTCTCCAACTCCAGTCCCCAGAGATAACCATCACCAACAATGTGGTGTACCTCATTACAGACACTTAAAAAATGCATTTACAAACGTGGGTATGCATATATATTAATAATACTGTGTGTTATTTTTTGTAAAACCCCACTTGATACTGTAATACTGTTCTGCAAGTTGCTTTTTTCCACTCAAAATAGCATGGACAAATGGGGAGTGACTGCTGATGATGAGGTACAGGGCTTTTCAGGGTGATGAAAATGTTCTGGAATTAGTGGTGATGGTTGCACAACTTTGTGAATATAGTGAAAACCACAGAACTGTACACTTTTAAAGGGTGAATTTTATGATACGTGAATTACATCTCAATTTTACAAAATAGCATGGACATATTTTCGTGTCAGAATGTATCCATAAGAGCTGTCCAATAGAAATATAATCTGAACCACAGATATGAGCGATTCACGTAATTTGAAATGTTCTGGGAGCCACATAAAAAAGGAAAAAGAAACAGGTGAAATTAGTCTCAATATACTTAAAGTAACTGTGCCTCCAAAATGTCAATCATTTTAACATGTAATCAATGTAAAAAAATTTTTAACGAGATTTTTACTTTTTTTTGGTACTAGGTTTTCAAAATCTGGCTTTTTATTTTTTTATTTTTGAAAGTGAGAGAGATGGGGGGGCGGAGGGCAGAGGGCGATGGAGAGAGAATCTTAAGTAGACTCCACTCCCAGCCCAGAGCCCGTCTTGGGGCTTGATCTCACGATCCCAAGATCATGACCTGAGCCGAAATCAAGAGTTGGACACTTAACCGACTGAGCCACCCAGGCACCCCCAAATCAGGCTTTTATATTGAACTTACAACACATCTCCGTTTGGACCGGCGACATTCTAAGTGTTCAATAGCCCTGTGAGGCTGGTGGCTTCCATGTTGGAGAGTGCAGGTCTCTATCATTCTTTGTCTTCCTAGTATCCCACAAAGAAGTAATAATTACTCCTGTTTCCTGGGCACATACTATGTCCTAGCAAGTGTGCCAAGCCCTATTCCCAGTGATCCAGTGGCCAGGAGGTTTTTAGGTCGATTTTATAGCTGAGGAAACGGAGGCCCTCACAGAATCAGGGCCATCCGCTGGAGGGACTATAATTTATGACCTCTGCCCCCAGGGACGGGCGTTCAGGTTGTCTACAGTTTTTCACTGGTTTAAGGAACGTGAGCGTCTTTCTCATTCCTTCTCTCCCTTGCTCTCAGCAGAGAGATGTCATTGTGCCCAGCGGCTGAACCTCAGCTTCATTTTGTCTCTATTAGGGACAGCCTTCAAGAGAAACTGCGTGTATTAACTTCATTTTCTCACTCGGGGCTCTCTTTAACTCAGACACGGGCTCGCTCACACTCATTTGTGAGGGATGTAATGAAGAGCCCAGCTCCCTGTAGCACCGTGCAGCAATAAACCCACTTAGAACACTGAAGTTTATTTACCGGAAGAAGCAGAAACTGCTGGAGCAGAGTCACTTGCAACGTCTACTTAAAGTTTAATTCATTAGTGGGTCCCCGTGCTGAGGCTGTTTGCAGATGGGTCAATGAGCTGAAAAAGGGAGATCTTGTTTGGGAACAGGCCTGGACAGCTGGGCCCTTCTCCCGGGGCCACTTCTGGCTTTTAAATGGATCTCAGACCAGCCGACTCCAGTCCTAGGGGTGTCCTGGGGTTCCCATTGAATGGGCCTGCTGCGTTCAACACCTTGAACCTCTACTACGTATGTGCCAGGAGCTGGGGACAGCAGTGAAACACGCAGGGCCCCTGCTCTCAGGACACCGTCGGACCGTAGACACATCACACACAAAAGCTCTAGATGGTGATGCGGTGGTGTGGTAGAGGGTATCAGTGTGAGTCGGCAAGACGGGGGGCGGGCAAGGTCTCTCCAAGGAAGCGGAGACCTGAGTGGTACCCACTGAGGAATGTGCAAGAGAGAGGAAGCCCAGGGACCTGACTTTGTTGCGGTGCAGTCAGGGAGGGCTTCCTTGAGGCGGCAGCATTTTAGGCTGAGCCCTAAAGTGTGAATGAGACCTGGCCAGGCTAGGAGGAGAAAAATCACCCAGGCAGAGGGAACAAAACCTGCAGAGGCCCTGGGGTGGGACGAAGCAGGGTGCCCTTTGGGATAGAAGAGCAGGTAGGAGGGGGAGCCGTGGGAGGTGTGGCTAGCGAGGAGGGCAGAAGCCGTGCCCAGGACTGCAGTCTGTCTCCCAGGATCCAGGCGCTGCTGCAGGGTAGCATGCCGACATCCGTGGGCAGGTGAGCGTTTTACTGTTTCCGGGGCCTTTAGGGTATTCTGTTCAACCAGTTTTTTTGTGTGTTTTACTTTCTCTCTTTTTCTGGTTTGAACTTCCTCTTTCAGGGGGGGAGTTTCAGGGCAGTCTCCAGATGGCAGAGAGAGAGAGAGAGAGAGAGACGTTTGCCTCTTGGCTGTGCTCTGATTTATGGGGGCAGGTCGCTCAGGGCGCTCCCAAATGGCTGAGCGCTGATACCCACCCACGGGTGAATTCCTGGCCAGGCTTTTTCAAAATCCTATTTGGTTCTTCTGTTGGGACACAGGACAGGCTTGTGAGGTTCATGGCCTGGATGGAAGGAAGTCAAGCCAGCACTTTCTCAGGCCCACGGTCTCTGCTTGAGTGAGCAGAGGATGATGGTGGAGAAAACACCTGGGTCGTTTAACCGCATGTGGACTAGATCAGTGGTTACAAACTGGTGGCCCCCAGTGCTGAATCCGGCACTCTGATGTGATTAGATCTGTCAATGTAGGGTTTCTTAAATGGGGGATTCTCATGAAAAACTGAGTTTCTGGTTTATTTAAAATACTAGGCAGTCTATTGTTTTGTTTTTAAGTAAGCTCTATGCCCAATGTGGGGCTTGAACTCACCACCCCGAGTTAAGAGTCACATGCTCCACCAACCGAGCCAGCCAGGTGCCCCTCAGTCAGTAGAGCAGGTGACTCTTGATCTCAAGGTCATGAGCTCAAGCCCCACGTTGGGCATAGAATCTACTTAAAAAAATGAAATAAGACAAAACATGAGCCGGTCTGGTAGGTCTGGGTCCCTGTTTGCCACAGTCCACACTCCTCCCTGTTGTCTTCCCCATATGGAAGCTAGCATCAGTTACCATTTACCCTTGTGCTTGAACTTTTGATTTTTCTGTCATCTCGTAGGGGAAAAAAACGGAACGACTTCTCCAAACCATGTGTTTGGACTAAAGTAGGAAAACATAAACTAGCCAAAGATGCCCTGGAGTTTCATGAAAAAAGACATCAAAGAGGCTGTTTCTTTGTGAAAGCAAAGGATATTCTATTACGTCCATCCTGCAAACACCATGTGCTTATGCCCCCCCCCCCACATGTGTCCTGCCCTTGTGACCTGCTGGTTCACTTTCCGAGTTCAAGTGGGGGATGTTCAGATGCCCTGTCTCCAGATGTAGTTCTGTATTCATTTATTCCTCAGACCTTTATGGTGAGCCCGTTGTGTGCCAGGCCCTGGGCTGGGTGGGGTACCAGGGAGAGGCCTGCGAGGCCGAGGGGGTGCCTGCCCTCAAGGAGTGTTGCAGTGAGGGAGATGAGCAGACAGTCATGATCAAGCAGAGTCATTAAATGGTGCTCAGTGCCATGAAGGAGACAGCGGAGGGACGATGACAGACGCTCAGGGAGGGTTGGAGGGAACCACCAGGCCAACCTCCAGCAGCACGTGCATGGCCGAGGGGCAAAAGTGAGGAACGGGAGTGGGTGGACCTCGGCGGCCAAGGGCGAGAGTAGGCAGGGTGAGACCAGGGCCTAGGGCCATGGGGAGGGCTCTGGATTCGATCCTAGGGTGCTGGCCCTCAGCAGGGGAAAGCCGTGATCAGGTTCCTGGCCTCACGGCTGCAGGGCTAGAATGTGTTTGCAGAGGCTGGAGCGGGAGCAGGGGAACCACAGATGCGGCCGTCCAAGGGCACGTGGCCTGAGCTGGTCACGTTCCCTGAATCAGGACCTTTGGGGGTGTGAGGGGCCAAAGCCAAGGCGGGTACTTGAAGGGGGCAGCCTCTCTCAGAAGGAAGTTCCTGTCTTTCTACCCGGTGGAAGGGGTCATCCCTGGGTCTGAACATCCTGCGGAGGGAATCAGCTCTGGGTGGCAGTGCCCGGCTCCCCGGGAGAAAGGCGAGGTGCACGGAGGTATGCATGGTGTATACAACAACTTAAACAGCAAAAAACCCACACCTATTTCATGCATCTATAAATAGAAGATG